AGTAACGCATGCGTTATTGCGTTACTCGTTACCAGTAACTACTAACGAGATGCGTTTATTTTTCATAGCTTTTGTAACGAGTAACGCAGCGTTATTTGCGTTACTTTAACGATTTTTTGCGTTACTTTTCTAGTAATGCAGTAACGCTTGAGTTATACGTTACTTGTAACGCATAATATAGTAACGCTTTAGTCGCATTTTGTCTGGAAGGTGATAAAACAATACATTTTCGGTTGTTCGTCATTCATACGGTGATATTTGAAAGCGTTGCTTTACTCAGTAAAGTTACATCAGTAAAGAAAATGTGCCCCCCCCTATCGAAAACTATAAAATTTTATATGTTGATATACTTTCATTTTCAATATAACGACGTCAGACTTTATTCGGTCTGTCTGAACTATATCTAACAGCAGAACTATATTGAAACTGTCAAATTCACTGTTTCGATCAAAATTAATATCGGAATATTGCCATAGTTGCAAAAAATTGAGTATCATCCTCACTACAAAGTAAAAGTAATAGTAATGGCTGTTCACTACGATCAAAGAAATGCCAACAAAATGTATTGTCAAGAAAACGTTCAGCAGCAAGAAGCACACAATGTGTGCTCAACTCAAAATCCGAAATTTTTTCAACAAAGAGAGAGAGGAGTACGTACCCTTAAAGAGTAATTCGAAAGTATAAACAGTCTACGGAGTATGAGAAACGAACAAACTCTCTATTCCGAATTCAAACCACCTTGTATTCGTATAAGAAATTTTAAATCCAATTAATAATCATTAACAAAAGTGATCTCAATCATGAAGGAGCCGATAGGACATATTACATTAGCGATTATTGAGAGTAGTAGAAACTGATAATGAATAAATGTAGTATATAACTGCTGTGAAAAACATTTTTATTCTATTTAAACTTTATTGTAACAAAATAAGAATATTCAACAAAACCAAATATTAGCTTTTAATCTCATACTAAGATCATCAGCAGGCATTATGACTATATTGAGCAAAATCTTTTGTGGCTACACATCTTGGCAACAATATGTTAACTAAAAACAATCTTTTCTAGCAGAACGTTGATTAAACTTGTAAACAAGACAAAGTTTCTCTCTGTTTTATAAGAAACTAGATTATTGATTAGAACATAACATTCAACTCTTAAGATTATTGGTTAATTTCACAAGAAACTTGAGCCTTGTTTTTCTTTCATTCAAGATGATCTATATGTGCTCTACTCTTAAAAAATGTTCCCTAAGAAATCAGGACAAAGAGAAGAAACAGATGTATCAGGACGACTTGAAAAACTTTTAGGGAGTCTCATCATTCTACGATGAGATTCATGCTGGAAAATTTAGTGATCAAAAGTATCTTTATTTAGTGATCATTTGTATCTAAAAATGTTTGGTGATCAAAAAAATTGATATCGGAACAGTTTTAAATTTTTTTCTTCTAACCATAGATTTTGTACCTTCTAAGCTACCTTTTAGCTATTTTCGAGTTTGGTTTTGATGAACTCTCTAGAGTAAAAAAGTGATCGAGAAGCGGAACGGGACATTTTTTCCGTTTTCGTAACCATGCGTTTTCAGACCTGGTAAATCAGGGGCAAAAATACTGTGGATTTGTGGCCTAAACTGTCCTTTATTTGATCATTAAAAAAGAGTTGGAAAAAGCTTTTAGTAAAAAAACAGAGGAAGCATTTTTCGTGAGATTCTATAAAGAAATTATTTTACCAGCACAACTAGAGAAAAGTATTATGAGTAAAACAAAAAGATTTGTTGAATTCTGATACGTATAGCAGGCGCTATGAGCTGAACTATAGATTGTACCAGCACTGAACATATGAATTGCAATTCTCTCCGGTAGCAGAATTATCTGGCCGTGCCGTTTAGTAAGTAAGTCAGTAGTCTGCTTTTGGCACTATTTCATGTATACAAGAAAATTTTTTCCTTTTTTTTTTCTTACAATCATCGATAAAGACAAATTATTTCATACTTATAAAGAATGGCCATGTACATATAAACGTAAATATTCATCCATAAGAAACCTTCCAGTAAGTAACCTTTTTAATATACATATCCGCCTTTGTATCTCATAATGGACTATAAAATTATACACTAAATACTCTAAAGTGTGTAAAGCATATTACTTTTACATAGATGAATATTTACCTTTATATATAAATGGCATTTCTTTAGTGTATGAAATAATAATAAAAAATATGAATTTTTATAATAATATTTTTTTTTATTTTGTGTCTTTATGGATGATTGTAAGAAGAAAAAAAAAAAGGATAACATTTTCTTGTATAAATGGACCAGCGAATATATATGCCAGTATCAGTTATTACTTTACATATATATTATACCTGTTTACGACGAACAGGTATTATATCATTGAATTTGTGCAAAAAAAACCGAAACTTAGTAATATTTTTTATTGAATATTATATTTTTTAAGAATCATTATTTTGAGATTTTTGTCATATATATTTTTAGAATATATTTATTAGAATAGTTCAAAACTATTTTCACATGCATATTGTGCTCAAAACAATGATTTCTAAAATAATTAATATTTAATTAATAATATTATTCAGTCTTGATTTCTTTCCTTAAATTCGGTGAAATAATCAAGTTTAAAATATAATTGTCTCCTTGTTTCAATCGTACGGTTACGCGAAAATTCAGGAACTCAAAGAGTAGTAAGTGGGATCGGTGAACAAAGCGCAGGTTTGAATTTGGTCGAATCTGATTGAATAATGCAAAACTCATAATGGTTTAGAGCAGATTTCAAGATAGAAACTCTTGTCGGACCTAGCTAGAAAGGAGAGACTAGTAATATTTAGTACATAGCTGCATGAATTAAGATCATCTAATGTCTATCCATGAGCAATTACTTAGTCAAGTACATTCAAACAAGTCTAACGTTAGAAAAAAGATTTTTTTGTCTTTCATTGTTCATTAATTCTTGATTTTAGATCCAAATTTGAAAAATTTATAGAAGTTAAAAATGAAACTGATTCTGTTAATTGTTACTTTATGCAGCTTAACGGTTGCAATTCTGGCAAGAGGTTATTCATATCACGATCTGCGAGTAAGTTTTACATCTTAACAGAAATGATAAAGTGAAACATTTTTTTCTCATCCTACTGGTAATAATTATTTGAATGTTTTTTTAGCAAATAATGGATAACTCGGACGAATTTGAAGAACTAGAAAAACGAAGTGATCCAAGATGTGGTATAACTTCGTTAGTTTATACCAGCTGTTCACAATTTTGTAAGAAGAATGGTTATAATGACGGTGATTGTCGAGGTCTAATTCGAGCTTGTTGGTGTATCAAGCAAACCGACGTGTCTTGTTTAGTTAGTCTAGGATGTATACCAACATGTAAGGGTCTAGGCCCAACATTCAGTGAGAGTGAGTGTGAAGGAGGAATATTGACAACAAGAAGATGTCAATGTGCTGCTAAGATGCCGTGATTACAAATTACTTTTTGAAACTTTTGATATATACAGATAATAAATATTTTACAGAAATTATTTGTATGTTTTCTTATTGTTTAACAGTATAGACTGTATCTTATATTATATTTTAATATTTTGTAACCTTGATCATTTATTCCTTCATTGTGAAATAAATTATGCGCAAGTTTGAACATATTTGTTTATCAATATGTGAATAAGAAAGAAATGCTGAGACTATAGTATTCTTGACATCCACAATTCAAGTATGTGTAATATTTAGATTAACTTTCAATTCACCGTAAGTCTCTCTGCGAACCCGTTAGTACAACATCATCTACAACGGTAAACTTAACTATAGTATATCTTAGCATAATGGTAATTAAGTTTATTTCTTTACAATATGAACACAGATATTTGCTTTATTTTTTGGACTTGGGAACTTAGGCTAGTATATTTCAGAAAAGTCTGAACTTGAACAAAAATTAGTGCATTTGGTGGCCCTACATTCTCAGTCGATAAAAGAAAACCTTATAGGTTTCATGCAAGGAAAAAAATTGAATAAGGCCGATGTTGATACATCTGAAATAGGCATGCACCGGTTATAACCGATAAATTTGATCTTTTGTCTGAAATGGATTGCATGAAAATGATGATATGGATATCACAATTTTTCTAACAACTGTAGAGAGGTTTTGTAGAGCAGAAATTTTTCTGCAAGATAGAATTTAGACCAAATTAGACGTTTTGTCTAATTAACCCTGACATGACCACCTTTAGGACAACCACTTGTTGTCCACCTAGGGCCCGTGCGGATCCCAGGCTGATAAAACAGGAATAATGCATGAAACTATTACTATTTTATAATGTAACTGTGAAGACTCTCGAGGAGTCTTGCCAGTAAAAGGAACAACCATAAAAGCAATTAAATTTGAATTTTATTTATCTGCTCTTTTTTCATTTTCTTACCATTCTCTACTTACAACGCGTTTCAAAACATGTATCGCATATTCACTATTGGATAAAGGCATGGATATCAAGTTTTGATTATTTCTTACAGTTTATGAAAATCTGATTTTCCAGAAACCCGATCTCTGGAGGCCTAGCTGCACAAACAGATGTCAGATTCGGATTCAGCGCAGCCGATTACCTGTCGTCCACTAGAGTTCAAGCAAAAAACGATTGCACACTTGGGGATCGTTCCTCGTAAGTGACTGGTTAACTTACTGGTAACGAAATAACTGGATTAGTTGCTTCTTTACTAGTAACGAGTGACTAAGTTGGTTTCCAGCTCCAAATAAAGTAACGGTAAAGTGCCATCCTTACTTGTAAGAGGGCAGTACTGTAATTTCAGATCAGAGGATCTTTCAGGTCCAAAAATATATTTTTCAGTAACTAAATGTGGAAAAATGGTACTCTCTTCCGCCGATTTATATTACAGTATCTATAAGTTCTATTTAGTAGGTTTAGTGAGGATTGGTTTAGTTTTAGAAATTTTTCAACTAAAATGGATGAAATTGAATTCTGTTTTACTTCTGAGAAAAAAAGACTGTTTGAAATAAATTGGCATGTGGACCATGCACGCGCCGTAATTCTACTCGATCATGGTTTTGACTATAGTTGACTATAGTGGTCGTTATGTACAAATTGTATAACGACCACTAAGTAAATAACAGAATGGGCGTACTGTTATGGGTTTTGTTACATCATCTACCCTTAAAAACTGATTGACCGCCTTATAAACGAAATTGTCTTTTGTGTACAACTTAAAAATACAATTTTTAATCTTTCCAAAGTTTTGACCTGTGACATTTTCCAATTCTTTAGCAATCTTTTCTGCCTGTTCCTTACCGCCGAGTGCTGTACCTTCGTTGATGATGCCGATGGGCGCTAATCATAAAGATATTTTAAAACATTGAAGAGTTACGGGTGCAATTGACAAATATCGTATTTTAGATGAAAGCCACTGAGGTAGCCACCATCGAGAATATGGGTGAATAAATTGGTATTCATATAAAACAATTACTTGTGGAGTAATCCAGTCAATACGACTAAGATATTTCTTCACAAGATCAGGAAAAAAGAATCGTTCATGTCGAAGACATGTAGCATTATCCGATGACCGATTGCCAAAGACTATACGTTTAACTGGTCGTTGTTTGTTTGTATGATGTTTACTTCGTTGAATTAAATCGACTAAATGAATTATATACTTATTGATATCAGCATAAGATTCGTTCTGTTCATATGCTTCTTCAATAATTTCATTATCGATGTTCCTGATGCGCTGGCGATTTAATTATTTTTCCGTCAGAAAGAGCAAAGGCTGAACTTCAAAGAACATAGGAAACAAAATTGTTTGTAATTGAGTTTGAGCGAAAAGAAATCTAAATTTGAAACGCCGCCCAAAAAGCTCTTGCAACTTCCACTCTCTTGAAATGTATCGCTTTCATCAAAAGTATTTTTTCACTATAGCAGAGTAAGTGTGAAATTATGTAATTATAGAAACCAGAAGTGTTTTTATTGCTCTTTTGAATCGGATGTGTAAATTATCTTTCGATCTACTTTTCAATTAGAAATTCGTAAGTTTTTCATTTGCTTCAGAAAAAGAGTTGAGTAGACTTAATTAATAATTTTCATATACTAAATGAACTTTGTCCTTTTGCTAAAACACATTTCCTAAAACAGCATTCAATTCCCTTCAAGCTCACATTAGTTTTAATTATTAATGACACATCTTGAGTCCTAAATAACAAAGTTTCTCAATGTCATGCCTTTCTCATGAAAAGTACAATTAGCTACCAAATCTGACTTTTGTAATACGTTTTTTTTACTACTAAGGAGTTAATGAGAAATTCTCGACAGTAGATGGATCAACACAGTTTTGCGCAGTCGACATTCTCATGTATTTAGTGTTAAAAAAGGGTTTTCTCCTCCTATCCGTATAAAAAGTAGGGTTGCCAGAACAAATAGGAATATGATAGTGCGAGTTTCGCTTTCTTGCCGACGATGACTGTTTTTAGACAAGAGGACGCTTTTTATCAAGGCGGAAAAGGCGAATTTTTTCTTTCTTAGCATCGCTCATCGGATGCTTCGCATCTCAAGCTTCGGAAAGTATTGGAAGGGCTCGGAAAGCTCCCGGAACATAAATTTTGTGTGTACATTAAACCTATACGAAAGAGAGTCAATATCAGCAGTTCTTTGAATACTGCTTTCCCTCGATAGTTTTACTAAAAACAGCCATGTTGAGAAATTCCAACTGTCTTTCTGTACATATGACTTTTTTGTTTGTAAGGGAGAGAAAGCCAGTAGTACATATAAACCCCGGTCAACTGTCGTGCCACATTCGCAAGGCGATCGCGCTGTCGCTATAGTGATCGCTATGAACTCCCATCACGCGTGATGTGATCGCTCTAAAGTCACGCTCTCACGACAAGATCTTAAGAAAGTCTTAATTAATTGAAAATTTTTTTCTAAGAGTCACGTTGCGATTTTACTATCACGGCGTAAACGCTATGCTTTCCCTATGTGGCGGCGCGATCGCTATTGAGTCGCGAAGTTGGACCTTGAGAAATTCTTATCTAGAGAGAAGAGGACTTTTTAAGAGTCGTGGTGAGTTCGCGACTCTTGTGATCGCGAATTTCAACAGGCGTACTCTGAATTGCTGAGTTATTAAATTCGCGCCATGATCTTAGCCTAATCCTATTTAAAAAAAAATCTTTTTTTAAGATTCGCTACACGATTAGCGTTTGTAGCGCGATCGCTATAGATTCGCGATCTTGTAGCGGGACTTGAAAAGTTGATAACTTTTCAAAAAACCAAGTGAATATTTCTTAACGCGGTCTCTATATTATCGCGCCACAATTCGCGATATGGTGAGTCGCGCCTAGACAATCACAGATATATAAACAGTAGTATCTGCGTAGCGGCGTCGCGATTTTTATCGCTGACTTGCGGTCCAACGAGGGAAGGCCACCTGCTGCCTCCTCGCTTTTGAGCTTAAACTCAGTTGACAATAGGTAATCGAACGTGCTGATTTCGAATATCACGATGGTTTTTGCCCGCTTTCGATTTAAAGACCCGTTTTTTAAAGATCTTGGTTTTTCAATCGAAAAACCATTTTCACTATGTATTTCAAACCTACAGAAAACAATTTTTCAAGGTTCTAAGCGAGATTTTGAGCGAGTCTTCTGCGTCTAAAACTTAAAAAAAGAGGGAAAAACCGCTAATAT